GTGTGTATGTGTGCGTGTGTGTGCATGTCCATGTGTGTGTGAACTGTCAGATATTATATGAGGCATTCATTACAGTATAAGCATGTCTGTTTGGGTATAAATACACTGCTTTTAATTGTTCTTGGCTGAGTTTCATCAAATATTTTGGTTCTTCAAGTGTTTATCTGAAAAGAATATCCAAAAAATAAGTGTATTAATTTTACAAAGCAAAGACTCCATGAGAATATTTGTTGAGATCTTGTCCAGACTCACAAGCAACCTTAAGTCCTATTATTCCAAAGTCATGACAAGACCTAATTGGTGCCTGAAGAGACTATGAAGCTACAAACTCAGTTTTATCTGTGCAACAACTTCTAACATGATTTTTTCTTTTTTCCAGTGGCCATCAAGCCCAGCCCCCCATGGGTCAGTGTAGGACCATGTTCCACTGGGTTCTCAGTGACAGGTTTTTCAGAACTCACTCACCCGGCCTCTCTGACAAGGCCCCTCTGGGTGGACTCAAATCTCCAGCCTTTTGGTTAGCAGACAAGTGCATATCTGCCTACAGCACTGAGGAACTCCTAAACATGACTTTACTCTTGGCAAAATAAGGCAGCCTTGCTTAATGCTGCCTAGTCCCTCTGTTCCCATTTATCTCCAAGATGTCAAGAGACCTTCCCAAAGCAAACACACTGGTGAACTTACCCAGTAAGGGATTTCTGGCATATCTCCAGCTGCTCCAGTAAGTGTGGTAAAAGCTGCCCCATGGTCTCATCTCCAACACAGCAATGAACCACATTTGGCATTTCATGTGCGCGAGTCATGATCTTCACCCAAGACTTATCTATGTTGGAAAAGCGCTTAGCTTCCTGTAAGAACATGGTAACAAAGCACACTCAGCCATGTATATGACCTTAGTGACAGACCACCTCACATTTGCTGTTAGTTGTCATCAAGTAGGCCCCCAACTCATGGCCCCCCATGCACAATGGGGTGAAACACTGTGCAGTCCTGCTCCATCCCCATGATTGTGGCCAATCAGACGATTGTGGTTCATGGGCTTTTCACTGGCTGAATTTTAGAAGTAAATCACAAAGCCTTTTTCCTAGCCCATCTTATCCTGGAAGCTCCACTGAAACCTGTCCACATCACGAGGGCATGTAAGCCTCCAGGAGTGACAGATGGGTGGTGGCTGCACTTGAAGTTCACTGGGCCCAGTCAAACCCAAGTGCCCCTCATGGAAGGCAAGAATCTACCACTGAACCACCACAAGAACCCTCCCAGTAAACCAGGGCTCAAACAAGTCTCAATAAACCTGTGGCCATGGCATCGATTCCA